ACAAAAAACAGCTTTCGTTTAGACACACAATAGAAGACCGCCCTAGAAACTTTATTCTACAAAGGCCACTCCCTTCCGTAGCGCTGACTTGTGACTTGATGCCTTACTCTCATGCTACCTTCTCTCCTCCGCGGCCGAAGCTGGTTGAAGTTTTAAAACTGGAAACTCGATTGTGTACGGCAGTTCCGGTTAGCTGCTGGCAGTAAAGTCAAATTTCTCTGAAGTTGACTTTGTTGCAAGACCGAATTCTTCAGAACAACCGTCGTCCATCATCGCTTAGATACTTTCGTTTTTTTCTGGTACTTACAAGGGCTTACCCATTACTGTCACTAGCAATAAGTAACAACGACACTAATTTGTTACTTTATTAAAAACTGTCTTCTCCTGTCACCTGTTAATGTGCATAATTTATTTTCCTAGAACTAGGAGTACTAATATGTTAACTTTCTGCCATTTTATATTTGAAATGTGAAAGAAAAAGACGGGCCACTAAAAAATGTTTTTCAAGAAAACAACTTTAGCTCGACCTAAAAACAGGCCATCCATGTTCAATGTTTGCTTTTATTCCAGTGGGAATTCGTCCAAGCTTCAAAAAACCCTGGTTGCGGCACTGGACATTACAAGGCACTTGTTAGGCCGCTTGATTCCATTGATTCCATATCATACGGGATATACTTTTATTTACTGTCAATTGACGAATTCGGGTGATATAGCAGAGGTGCTTGGCCAGCATGAAACTATTTGCGCTTGCTGAACGAAAGAGTTACGATGAAATCCGCTCGCCCCTAGCTTGTCTTGCTTATCGACCAAAGTTTCGCCGAAACGAGATCGCCTGATGTGAAGAAATATGTTCTCTAGCGAGTTTAGTTCAAAGCTTGTTTAGTGCACGCATGTATCATCATAACTCGTAGTTTTCTTTTGTACAATTTAGCGTAATAGGAAAACATGCTGCAACGTATAAAAGATCGACAGATCGAATTTAGAAGAAGAACTTCAGCGTTGTTCTAATCAAAAAGTCTCCTATAAACAGTATTTCTCTAAACATATACATTTACATAAATGCTACTAGTTTTGAAAGATGAATACAAAGCGGTATTCACACATCCTACCGTGAAACACGCTAATTTCAAAAAACCTATTTATCATATTCGCCAGTAAACGTTCTCACTTTTCGGACAACTAGCTGCAAATAGACGAGACTAAATAAACAATGCTTCTTCCTCATGAGCCCCAGGGCGTCGAAAACAGTGTAATTAATTGCAAATTAAATGCCATTTAATACGCCTCTTTAGTAATAATACCTCTTTAGTCGCAGTACCTGAGGTCTGAGGCATTATTGATAGAATTCGACATGCTTGACATATGCTGATGATTTATTTGTACAGTTCTTGATGGAACTTTTAAAACTTTTTCCAAGCTAATAATGCGAAGCAGTGGTGGTAGGTAAATATCAACTGTATACGATATTATTATTTCACATCGAGTTTTTCACATTCACCGCCAATAGCTAGATTTGAAAAGTAACTTTAAATAAGCTATTTATATAATAATTTCCTGGGTCTCTCGGTCCATCACGCTCCACCTGACAGCCATCGATGAAGTGTCACACACAATGTGAAAAATACTACGCTAGGCAGGGAGCGCTTGAGTCGTCTGCATACACGGTGGGAAGGGGATTGATAGATGAAGCCACAGTCAATGTGGAAATTCAAATTACTGTAGATTTCTCCAGGAATTTCATTAGAGTCTGCGCAATTTCGTAACATATTCTAGCTGGACTGGGTGGCGTATCGATGAGATTGAAACAGGCGAAAAAGAAGATTACCTAAGCTTTACTGAAACATTTGAAGATAAGGAAGAAAAGAAAGCTCTGAAGAAAACATCAAATCCAAATCACGGCCATAACGGTTGATCGCGCCTCATTTTGAGAAAAAAAAGTTGTTTATCTAACTGAACAGCTGGAAACGCAAGTTTATTAATCAAATAGCAAATGATAATTTAAAAGCGTGGAATAAAAGAAAATACTATTTAACACTGTAAAAAGACAGCCTTTCGAAAGGAACTAACCCATAGCAATTGAAAAATAAAAAGTTTTGGGCTGTTTTGGGCTTTGTTAATATTAATTGATAGTAATAACAATTAGCCTTCTTTTATAAACAGAAAATTGACATTTAATTTCTTGCTACAGCGAAAACAACGGCTTATAAACGCATTTAATTAAATGCCATTTTTTTTACATTTCCTAATCATCTAAAAATTGACATTTGAATGGTAAAAAAATGTGATCAGCAGGATTACTGGCCTCAGGTAAATGCCTGTTATTTGACCGTTTTTGACATTTAAAAAAATGCGACATAAATGCGTTTAAACGTTCCCAGTTATAATGGCAAAAAACGGCCTAAAAACTGAGTCCGATGTCCTAAAAATTCTATTTAAATGCTTATTAATAGCGTATTAAATGGCATTTAATTTGCAATTAATTACACTGTTTTCGACGCCCTGGGGCTCATGAGGAAGAAGCATTGTTTATTTAGTCTCGTCTATTTGCAGCTAGTTGTCCGAAAAGTGAGAACGTTTACTGGCGAATATGATAAATAGGTTTTTTGAAATTAGCGTGTTTCACGGTAGGATGTGTGAATACCGCTTTGTATTCATCTTTCAAAACTAGTAGCATTTATGTAAATGTATATGTTTAGAGAAATACTGTTTATAGGAGACTTTTTGATTAGAACAACGCTGAAGTTCTTCTTCTAAATTCGATCTGTCGATCTTTTATACGTTGCAGCATGTTTTCCTATTACGCTAAATTGTACAAAAGAAAACTACGAGTTATGATGATACATTCGTATGAAGGCCGTACACTTACGTAAACATTTAAATAGTCTTTACAAATGATCACTCACATGTTACTAGCTGCACTATGTATAAATGTCGGCCTGTCGACAATGTCGAAGTACGATCGAGCTCGAGCAATTCTGGCTATTCAGCTGGGATACACTTCTACCTGGAACACATTTATCCAGTGATCTCTTGATATCTGTGTGGGTGATTTTATTACTGCCAGTAAGCGTTTCTAACAGACTACGTCCTCTACTTTTTCACTTTTACAGATTTAACTGATCCACTCCCTTGTTTCTAAAAAGCCAATATTAGGTGCTTTTCTCCCATTGACACAGTTTCCTTCATCTATTTTTATTGCTCTCACTTTGTCTTCTGTTCTTCTTTCTCTCAGTTCAACGTCTTTCTTTTCTTTTTGTCCACGTTTATTTTATGATGATGGTCTGTTTAAGGATTCATCTGAGGAGATACAATGTAGTCCTTAGGACAACGATTTCACTTGTTTGGTCTTCTTTTCTTGTTTCTTTTTTTTGATTTCTTTAAATAAAAAGCTTAAATTAAGTTAAATGTCGACCTTATTTTTAACTATGGGTGCTTTTTACTACCGATGGTAGTAGATCAAATCTAGGAGAAGAATTTCAAAAATTGTTCTGATAAAAAAACTATCCTATAAACAGTATTTCTCTACAAAACTTCGTTCTAACCACTCGAGAGAGTTATACAATATCATCTTTGATGCCTTATAACTAGCATGGATAGTAAAAAGCATCCGTCGCACACTTCGTGTCGACGTTGAAAACTAGTTCGATATTTATACATAGTATAGCCAGTAATATGTGAGTGATCACTTGTAAAGACTATTTAAATGTATACGTAAGTGTACGTCCTGCATCGGAATGTATCATCAAAGCTCGTAGTTTCCTTTTGCAAAATTTAGCTCAACAGAAAAATACGTAGTTGAAGAAGTGCAACGTACGAAAGGTCGGCAGATCGAATTTAGAAGCAGGACTTGAAAAATTGTTCTAATGTATATGTTTGTCTGTGTACTGTAATTTGTTACGTTCAGCATGTGGTGACAGCGTAATTTTCAGCATCATGCCAGTTGTAGTTTGAAATGATCCAAAAAAACGGTTAAAATATCCAAAAGATAAAAGTCAAGTTGTTCGTATTAATCGTCGAATGACAACGGTTAATTTAGGAGTGTAAAATCATTTTATTATTCACAAGAACAGCATAAATAGTCATTTCTGAAAATAACTTTTTCAAATTTAAAATCCTTGAAAATATTAAAATCTAAGAAATTCGATCATATATTCAATCTTTACAAAAATGGTATTCTATGAGGATATTTAACATTAAACGTTGAAATTTTAGAGCAGAAAAACACGCACAAAATATAAAATCTACTTTCTAAATATTCTTACAGTAATAGTAAAGGTGACTGTACAAAGAAAAATCTTGATTTACAGAACTAAGTGATAAAATTAGTATTCGAAACGTAGATAATGAAAATTTTACTCAAAAAATATGTCCCATTAAATTACACACATCATTTTAGAAATGAAATACAACGAACTACACACAGTTTAGCTACAAACTAATGTCTTCGGCATTATTTAAATAATTCATGAATGAAAATGAATAGATAACGATGAAAAGCCAGATAGATAATGCGAATATAGTGCAACACACAATATTCGCTAAAGTAAGACTTAGTCACCCTCCATTTTCTCTATTATCTTCTATTCTACCTAATGAAATAATAAGTTTACCCTCTTTTTCGAAGAAAGGTTATTAAGCCAGATCCACAAAAGATATCTCCTTAGCATTTGAAAGTCAATGAGAAGTATAGTCTGGAGTCGAGAAATCGAGTTGCGCACGCATTTACTCTCATAGATTTTTGAAAAAAAAATATTCTTGCAAACTTTTTGCCACTGTGATCTTGGAAGAGTAATTTTGCAGTTTGACAGCAGCAACAGTTTTCGACAGCATGTTTCGACACTGTCAAATTTCAAGTGGAAACTTTTTCGCTCGAAATTCGACAGTGTCGAAAACTGACTGTCGAACAGCGACAAAGTTCTCGGAAGTTGGTTATTTTGACTTTTGTCCGTGATAGAAGTGAGAGCGATAGATGAAACTACTTGAGATGTCTGTTATTTCTGCTACACAGACTTTGACTTATCTAATATTTCAATCATTTCATATTTCCTAGAAGAGTGCCACAATACAGAGAGCGCCCAAGACAAAACTGAAAAGAAAAATTCCTTTTTTTTAGTTTTACGTAATAGTATATATCAGCAGAGTTGCTGTTCCTTTAGCAACCAGAGTTAATATTTGAAAGAACTGACACTAATGCTTTAATTTTATAAGGAAAGGACAATTTTTTGACGGACAAAACGTATCAGTCCTCTTTACCTTATCGGAATAAGTACCGATGTCAGAATTGCAGCTATTAAAAGAGCGAAGAAGGGTAAAGCTATAAGTAATTTAGATAAAATTAGTTTAAAAAGTGTTTTTTCCACCGTTTTGGTTTGTTCGCTAGTTTTATCTAGAGACTTTGTCATCATCGGTGGTACATTGCTTATTGGCACGAAAGAAGAGCGTCTCGCAGCAGGCATGGTCCAGCTGTGATAAAGAGCATTTTCTTCAGAGGGAGCAAAATGTGCGCTGGCTACATCGGCAATTTTCTGCCAATTGAATCGTCTGATAAAAAGAAACAGTGTAACATTCGTAAATACTTTGCCAACTGCATAGCCAGTCCAAAATCCAAAAACATCAATTTTAAGAACGAACATAAATACAGCAGCCAATGGTATTCCAATTACATAGAAACCAAAAAATGCAATTCCCGCTCCTTTGGCTTGTTTTCCACATGCTTTTATCATACCTTCCATAGAAACTGTATGAAAAAAATCTAGTAGATGTACACTAGCTAAAACAAAAATAACAACGGGAGTCATGTATGGGTAAACTAAAACGTGTTAGCTAAACTCTATTACAACAGGTATTTTTTAAAAGCATGCCTTCCTTATTCTTACAATAAAATTTTAAACCTCATGTTTTTCTAGAATTTTAGTGTCGATATCAATAGGACAAGGATGAAAAAACTCTCAAAAACATTTGTGATCTACGTGCTGAATCGAATGATATTCGCTTCTCTATCGTTTTGAACTTTTCAAAAACGTTTCCTACCATAACAGAATGGTCAGTGCGAAAACAATGAATCTGTCGAAATTGTACTTTTACTGATTGCCGAATTCTGGCGATATACTCCTTGAAAAGAGGGTACTGAAAAACCGCTCAATAATAGATCGAGATGCAAGATCTCGAAGCAAGTTGTACGAGTCTTGCCATATATATTGTGAGTAACATTAGTGCAAAAATGTTTTAACACAGTCTTCGCCAGAAAAACGATCTAGGGTTGTCCTGCGGCAAATTTTATTTTTATTTTTATTCATGTCTCATTCGAATGAGCATAGAAAATAACCACTAATCCTGCAATATCTCTTTCTGAAACTGCTTTTTTTAAGAAACTAGAAGTCAAACACTCTGTTGAGGGTCACTCTTGTTACCAAAAAAAATGTGAATATTTCACAAATTTTTGCATTTTCCAGTTTTCTTAAAAACTATCAAATCCTTTTGATTGGTTTATAGTTCATTTGAAAGAGAGTTGTTTACTCTATAAGTTCATGCATTTAGACATAATGATATGTTTAACTATGTAGGACCAAATAATAGAAAACTAAAATATTCCATATTTTTGAAAAAGTGCATTTTTTTCACTATTTTTTAAATATGGACCATGCATATGTCAGTCCCAAAATAAATCGTACTTCATTTTGTAGGTAATTCTTCATCAGTTCATATTAGTAGAGAAAAAATAATTTTACTTTTGTAAAAATAGCTGGAAAATGGATGTATGGAAAAAGCCATTTTTCTCTCACTTTTTTACAGTTGCTTGGTAAGGTATGATATTAAAGTCCATAGTAAGTATGAATTTCTGAAATTTCTGGTCCTGTTGATAGTTGACGTATATGCACTGTCTATCCTGAAGTGAAGAGAAAAGCGGAAGGGAACATTCTTTTAATTGTACGAAGTGTGTGCTGTACATTGGAAACAAAGATAAAAAGAAATCGTCTTTAAGATTGTTTCTATATATACATATATACTGCAGTGTGTGTAATGTAGACTTGAATTCCCTGAAATCCTGATATCCCTGGCTGCAAATATATATATCAGAGATCCGCAAGGGCTGGAAATTTTTGGTTCGGCCCGACCCGGTAATGAACGTTTCTGGCCCAACTCAACCAGTTTTTAAAATTATCTGGTCCCAGGCGTGACTTTTTTCCTTGCATTTATAATGCTTTTGCTGGCTAAGTGGTGTAAATGTCTTTTTCAAGCTAATATTTATATCTTTATGATCTCTTGGTTTTCATTTTTTCAACCTTTAAAAGCTTTAGGTAAACGAAGTCATTAAGATGTCGCCTAACAGCGATAATACTCTTTCTCGGTACTGAGTATACACATAAATTACAAATCCACGTAGGCTAAAAAATTTTTGAGTTCGACCCGACCAAAATACTTTGAGGCTAAAGCCCTGTTTGGCCCGATCATTCTGCAAAATTTTTTGGTTCGTGCTGATCTCTGATATATATATATACATATAATACCGTGTGCAACACACTGAAATCGCTATTTAGTGCATCGATTCGTATACTAGACAGAGTGAGAAAAGGTCTTGTCGTGGGCAGGGGGCAGGAGTAGACAACCGTCTGCTTTTCGCAAATAAACCTTTTTAGTTTTGTGCTTAAAAACTACACATGACTCAATGCTAACTAGTCATGTCAAAACTTGATAAAAAATCTTTTCTCCTAGCCGTCTAAAAATCTTATATTAAATCTGCTCGGGGTACTTTTCAAAAGCTTGTCTGACATGCAAAAATTTGTGAAAACTCACATTTTTTGGTAATAAGAGTAACTCTCAATAGAGTGTTTGTCCTTCAGTTTCAGAAAGAGATATTGTAGAGTTAGTGGTTATTTTCTATGCTCATTCGAATGAGACATAAATTAAAAATAAAATAAAATTTACCGCAGCATAGTATGGTCGGTGCTGTGGCGGAGTTTCTCTTAAATACTCATGCATTAAATCGAGACACTAATCACTTACCGACAACAAGCAAAATGTGCCGCGAAAGTGCTAATGCTTCTGGTTCTCGAATATTGAACACCAATGGTATCCATCGGGATGTTGAAAAAATTAAAGCCATATCAAACGCAACAATGAATACCCCCAATGTATAGATGATATTTTTACAACTTTTGGCTTCAACTGGTTTACCTGCCCCTAAATATTGTCCGATTCGAACGTTACCAGCAACACCCACTGATTGACCAACTTGAAATAGAAATACGCCAACCTGATACGCGACACTTTGTGCAGAGAGTGATCTAGCTGAATCTAATTTTGCAGCAAATAAAACACCTAACTCAAACACCCATGATTCACTCATTGTTGCGAGAATACCTGGAGCACTCAAACGAACATATACGATCCATTCGCGTAGACATTCACGGCTGAGTGGATGCCAAGTATCTTTGTAAATGGAAGAAAAACGAATATATAATATTTCAGTTAGTAATATTACAGCATAAGATATAGTCATTGCAATAGGAGGAGCACGTACTCCAAAATGAAAAACGTAAAGAAACACATAGTGCAGCACCGCATTAACTGCATTTCCAATGAGATTAATAATAACCAGTGGATACGTGATTCCATTTGTGCAGATGTATTTTTGTAGCACAACCGAGATCCCCTCCAATGGTACAAAAAGTAAAAATGCTTTGAAATAATCGTCAACCAAAAGAACCAGTTCTTTATCGTTTTCAATGAGGTTAAGAACAAATTTTGCATTCAACATCAATGAAATTGTAACGATTACACCAAATACATTAAGGATTATGGCCCGTTGAACTATTGTACCCTACAAAGTAGAGTAAATGCATGCTAGGTTACAGAACAGAAATGTTGTAAAAACCATAACTTTCTCTTGTTGAAAATGCGTTGTAATATTCTCATTCTTTTAAGCTTTTTCTTTCATTATGGTAGCTTTTTGATATTATATTGGTTCATAAAACAACGGGCGATACTAGAACTAGATTAAAAGTACACTTATCCCGCTGTCTGCCAATTGATGTGGTGCACTGTAAAAAATAAAGTGTGTTACTAGATGTGTAAATCGTCTAAATGCTCACGCAGCATCAAAAAGTGTGTACTTTTTCTAGACGGTTAATCGCAGTGTGTAAGAAGCTAGGTGTGTTAAAAATATTTCTTATTTGCCATTTTTCCCGCGAACTACTACATTAAACGAAAAAATAATTTCACGATCATGATCACTATTCTCCAAAGTATATATGCTGTCACTTCTAGCAAAAACAGAGAAGAAAAAGAGCGAAAAAAAATATCGCTATACGATAGATTTGAACAACAAATTGATGGATCTGGCACATTTCCAGCACAAACGGTTTAGACAACTAGACTGCATTATTGGCCTCAGTGTGTAAAGCCAGAAGATCACTTCTTAGGGTGAATTTTACACACCCACGCCGTACGTTCTAGACGGTCACTGGGAATCGACTTGGCGTTCACTTTGTGTGTCGTTTACACGCTTTATTTTTTACAGTGTTTTCTAGCTAAAGTGGTCATTGCATCGATCGACTCATCCAGCAATGAATGCTCGATCAATCGAAACATCTAACTGCGCTCAATTGGAGCTAGATTTAGTGTACCCCTCCTGAAGACCATGGTGATCTTCTAGTAAAGCTAGATAAAATCTTCATATAGACACAGGTGCGCTCATTCAAAGTTGAAGCAGTATTTTATTTTTGACTTATTTATACATTATTGCCTAGAACTCGAAGAGGTGATCATAAATATGTAGTTTTCAATTTTTTATGTCGAGAAAACGATGATGT